CAATCACCGCAGAGCAGCACTGGATCACTCAAGAAGGATCTCCCTCACAGAGAAAACCACCTTGTTGACCCTCTGTCAAACTGTCTTTGCCAAGGAGCACAGGTTACATTCCCTGCGGCAAACAACTGGGTTTCCTACCTGATGGGATAGAAACACATCATGACATGCATATTGAAGGGAAAAACCCTAGAAGATGACATTCCGCTGCAGGCATTTAACCTCTGGCATGGCAGTGAAATACYCAGAGTCTGACAGACATGGGGAGATTCGCTGCAGTGTGACTTCAGCATGCCCAGATACTTACCTGTGGAGCAGAAGAAGCTGTCTCCAGGTTGCAGGCTCTGGGCCTGCCTGCTTGGCCACAGAATGAACTTGGAAGTTGGTCATTTCGCTTGGAATAGGAGTGTTGGATATCACCAGAGMAGGGCAGAGATGGGCTCTCCCATTCCAGCAATGGCTATTGTGACATAAAGGGAAAGACAGRCAGGCTGTGATCATTCCTCTGCTGAGCTCACACGATCCCTCCCTGTCTATGCTTCCTCATCTGTAAAGATAACTCTGCTCATCTATCCACTAGAGATTTGCATCAGCTAAAAAGAACAAAGATCTGGCTCCCATGAGGCTCTGATTCATGTTCTGAAGGTGCCTTATTCTTTTAAGGCAAGTTAATGAGAGTTCTGGTAAAGACCTATCTACCTTGTTTGGATGTGCTGGAAGAAATACCTTAAACAGGCGCCCTCAGCACCTCATCTTGCAGATTCCCAAGCACTGCTGCAGGCCTTTTCCTTTCCTGCCTCTGCCAGCTCTCACCGCAAGCTGTACTGCTTTATCATCATCTCTCCAAGGCTTCTCCAGGAGCTCCAAGCCCACCCCAGACCACCTGAGTGCCATCCCCTGTGGGCAGAGAGCCATTAGCACTGCAGTGCTCTTCTTGCTGCTGCCTGCACTGGAATTAATGTAGCTTAGAGTCAGCACAGCGAAAATATTGACTTTCAAGCTAATCAAACCAAATTCCATGAAAGCCACAACTCCAAACTAAAAAAAAAAAAAAAAAAAAAACCCCAAAACAGTGATTCATAAATATTTGAAAGTGTCAGATCAATTGCRTCTGGATTACGGCAGCAGGGAAGGCTGAGGCTGAATTGAGAGGGAGATGGACAGGACAGGTCTAATTCAGAGACCATGTATCTCCCTGTGTCACTAGGAGGGCCATACGAACCTTACGCCACCACCTGCATGATGAGCCCTGCTTYCTGACACTATTTTCCAGACCAACCACAAGCGCCCAGCCTGCAGGTAGAAGGGACATTCCCTGTTTCTGGGACAATGAAGTTAAGAAGCATAAGAACAAATTTAGTAGTTCGATTCCAGTCCTGCTGAGACAAATACAACATTTAGGAGTTGTAACTGTTCTTCTTCTCTTGTCTTTWACCTCATCAGCCAGGTCCGGGTGATCAAAGGGAACAGTTTTGTAAGGCAAAAAGCTGACTTGGAATTAAAGATTTCCTAAAGAGTACATCACTGTCATTAGAGCCAGCTGGCAAGCCTGCCTCCTTCTCCCATTTCCCACCATCCTGACGGTTGGTATGTCCCCAGAAAGCAAGATGATTTTTTTAGCCTGGCCTTGTCTCCTTCCACTCTAATCATCTCATCTCCTCTATCTAACCAGCCAAGAAAAGCAGCTTTATTTTCCTAACAAATTTTCCAAAGCAAACAATATCCTGGAAAAGGTGCAAACACAAGACAATGTATTTCTTCTTCATCCTACAGAGATACTCCAACTTCTCCCACAGAAAATTGATCTGACACATAACTCCAAGTCAGAGTGATATTTCTAGATGGAAACACTCATGACAAATAACTGAGTTGTGGGCAGACTTTGCTGCGTAGGTCTGTTTGCAAAGCAATCTTGGGTTTCCCTGCCCTCCAGGTGTCTGGAGCTCTATTTGTATACAAAAGAACATGAGACCTGGCAGGAACATTACTCTTGTGAAGCTTTAAGTTCATCTCTTGAAATCAAGAAGATATTTAAAAAAAAGGGGGGGAGAGAACAGCAAAAAGAGAGGCTAAATCCTCTGGTTGGGCAAAAAGGTCATGCCCATGCCATGCACACATTGTTATGGGAAAGGCACCAAGGAGGCAGGGCTGCACACGGTGTAGCATAACCCTGGGGAAGCAGCCTAGGAGGGAAGGAGAGTCACTGAGCAAAGAGGGTTCCTAAAGCACTCWGCAGCTTCCTCCAGGGTGGGAGCACGAGCAGCTTCCAGGATGGGGAGAGGKGGCTGCAGAGGCAGGTAGGGTAGGGGTCCCACAGACCTGGCTGCATCAGCACTGGGCGAGCAGAAGGGCTCAGTGCTCGCTGGCAGGCGGGTGACAAGCCCCAGCTTTCCCAAGAACGCTGTATCTACTTCCRTGTGGAAGGGCATGGATATGGAAACCCTGGTGCAGTGGGTTCAGCACTACTCACCAACGCTGCACATGCAGAAGCCCAGGGCAGATGCGTTGATGGCCAGGACTGTCCCACGCAGCGAAACGCAAAAAGGAAAATCTTGAGATATCTTCTCCTGATCCTTTCTGGAAGCAGAGCCAGCAGTCTGTCAGCTGCATGACCACAAACTGTGATAAAGGAGAGCATTTAGCTCAGCTGTCTCTAATTCTCACCAGGCTCAAGTTCTTTCCTCTCCCATTCCAGCCCAGCATTAAATGAAGTGGACAGGGCATCTCCATCCTTAACACACTACTTGTGCTGTCACAAGGGAATTAAAGCCACTCTGTTCTCCCATCCCTGAAAACAGACTGGGCTCCCTCAGCAGACAGTGATTCCGGATGCAAGACTGGAAAACATTCCTCACCCATAAACTTACTTAAGCAAGTCTCTCTTCCCTTGATGCTCGGGTAAATATCTTTAATACCATTCATTCTACGGCAAATTTGTGTTATTTCCTCCCTAAATAGCTAAGAACAAAGTCTCACCTTCAACACGTTTAAATGAGCTTTTTCCTAACCAGAGAGAAAAAACAACAGGATGCTCACTTAAAGTAATTTAGTGAACTAATTAAGATTCACAGAAACATGGCTTTTATGCAGCAGGGAGGGCCCATCCATCAACGCGACCCTCATTACTGGTGTCAGGTGTTAGAGGGCAGGACTGCATTTCAGCTCTCAGCACTTGCGGTGCTCARACACCACCAGGACACAGGCACAAGGAGGCCGACGGGGATTTTGGACTTGGTTTTCTGCAGCGGCTGTGAGGAGGAAGAGGAGGAGCGGTCCTTGGTAGTGCTCCAATGAGCAACAAGTCCCCGTGTAGGCAGCCCTTCCCATCCCCTCATTCCCAATGCCATTGTCTCCTGCTCCCACTCTTTCCCATGCTGCCCTCATCATCCTCCTTTGGCCACCCTGCCCTTTCCCACTGCCCAGGTATGCAGGGAGCCCATGAAAATCAGAGGCCAAGGCTGAAATTTGGACCTCACTGTAAATAAAAGCCACTAAAGAAAACCCATCCACCGTACTCGGGGTCTGCACATGTAAATCCAGGCCGCACGGCAGCTCTACCCAAAGGCCCCCAACGTGCATGTGTCAGTGTATTTCTTTCTTCAGAGATCATTAGCAGCTCCTCACCAAGGTCAGGAGTCGAGACTAAGACTTCACTGATACAAAGGAAAATGTCTTTGCCATGACCCAGGGCAGCTAATAGACTCACAGGAACTCCATTCCCAGACCTCATCCATCCCCCTATCTATAAATAATAAATCAGTGCTTTAAAGCTGCTCTCTAGGAACATCCTAAGCCTTCGCCTTCCCCTACGGGAACGCAAGCACAAAGAAGATCGAAATACACAGTGGATTAAAATTGCTGCAGTTAAAACCAGTAGCAAAGCCATAATTCCTTTGGGCTTTGCCAGAATTCCATATTCCTTTGGCTGCTAATGCTTCCAGAAGCATCTTTCGCCTCTGTTTTATACCTGGGTGTGGAAGCAAAGCTGGGGCAACAGCCCTGACACTCTGCACAGACATGGGACTGCAGTGGAGCAGCCGTCGTGGTGCTGGGTGCTCACCYAGCCCCAACAGGCACGGGAAGCTGCAGAGAGACACGTTCATACAGTCACGCTTTGATATGGTAAAGGTGGCATCACTGCCGTTTACACTGTCACATCACTACCAAGGAGCAAGTATTTTTTCAGGAATCTATCATCTCAGTTAGACTTAGAAGCTAGCTAAGGCTTTTTTCCTCTGTCTGAAGATTTTTTCTCTTTCAAAACAAGTCATCTCTCGCCTTGGTGTGTACAAACACCTTAAAGAACCCAGGCTCAACCCGGCTGCTCCAAGAAATGTCTCTGCCCCTTGGGGTGGGAGCAGTGAGTCTGTCCCCTGTCCTGAGGAGCAATGCGACTTCTCAAGCCCAGGACCACAGTCAAGATGCCAGGCACCAGCAGCAGGGCTCTTCTGAACTGCCATTCTCCTCTCCTCCATGACTCACGCTCTTACACAGCCTAAAAAGACTAATGGTAGTCGGAGCTCAAATACTCTATTTAGAGACTGCCTTGGGGACTAGGAGTTAATTTTAAACTGAGTGACCTTAGCTCCCTGTCACAGTAGCTCAGGAGGAGCCAGGAAGGGGGTTGCTGCTAATGCATGCCTAGAGAGCATGTGTTTTACCTCCCCGCTCTTAGTCCTCATTATTAATGTCAAGGTTTTTTAACAAAATTTGTCTTGGTCAATTAGCTCAGACAGGGCTGCTCGTAACCTTCCGAACAAAGGCAACCGCATCCTGCTCTCGGGAAGACGCGCGGCGTGACAAGGGCAGCGTGTGACGCGGCCGTCCGCACCGCGGCGTCCCCCGTCCCAAACCCACCGCTCCTGCTCGCCCCATTACAGCTCCCCAGCAAAATACATCCAGCATCTGCTTGTGGCAGGGCAGTGATGGGGAGCCCTAGGAAATAMACGGGTGGATGTGCGAATCCTTGGCTGTTGGATAATCCAGCCACCTTCTGCAAGCACTGTAGGCAAGCCCGAACTGATCAAATATCACTGCTGCATCAAGGCAGACAAGCTGCTGCTCTGAAGAGCTTCATTTCCAGGAGGAGGATTTGTTTCAGGTAAGTTTGGTCAAAGAAGTCATTTGAAACTGCTTTGTACATGCAAAAGTGTTTTGACTATTATAATTCCATCCTTCTTCTGGAAAAAAAAAATCCTCACCTAATTTCAGCTCAAATTTTGGATGCTCAAAGCAGCTGTGCTTTCACGGGAGCAGAAGGCACCACATGAGTCGTGAGGAGGGATTCCATGAGGCCTCACCGGAGCTGCTGCCTCTCCCGGGGACTGCATCCACACGGGTGCTCTTGCCATAGGAATTACAGCACGTGTCATTCCTGACAGGCACACACACAGGACTCACCGGCATCTCCAGTGTGAACTACGGCCAGAGCAGGCACAAACCAGTGGGTGTCAGGAGACAGCGTTGCCTCCGGCCTCCCCCTAGGCCTTCCTCAGCCAGCCCACGGCTAATGAAGAGCCACTAACGACCCGTCTTATGGGACCCGCAGCCTTTGCTGCAGCCTGTCAGCTGCCTTGCCGCAGGCAGAGACCACGAGAGCGAGGACGAGGAGCTCCAGAGACCGGCACGTCAGGAGGCTTGTGTGGAAACCGGTCTGGAGTTGGGGGCAGAGAGGAGACTGCTGGTTGTTTCCATCAGCTGCCTGTTCATCCACACAGGAGGCAGGAGCCGCATGGGGCACAACAGCCCAAGGGCGGTTGTTGCTGCACTGACGTGGAGGGCAACTCACCTAACACCTAGAGAAGGTTCACAGCGTCCACTCAGCAGCCCCCAGAAAACAAGTGTGCAGAGGAACTTTTTCGTGGTCAGCTTTCTTCTGAGCAAACACAGTAAGTCAGGAGGAGGACAGTGGTGCCAAGAGCAAAAGACTAATTTGATTCTTTTAAAATTATTTTAATATCCATGTTCTTGATTCCACAGAGACTTAAGGTTTCTCTGGGCCTGCATGCTCAAGTAAAGCTTTGCACATATTTAAGTGACTGCAGGATCTAAGCCCAAGTTGCTACTAAGTACTAGGTAAGCAAATTTGCTTAATACGGTTTTTAATTTGCCATTATCCCTTTCAAATGTATTTGTTCTCTATTAAAAAGTAATAAACGAGCCTAASAGCAATCATCTCTATTTCTTCAGCATCTTATAGGCATCTCAACAGACCACCCACGCCAGGGCCAGCACTGGCCTCCSCTTAAGCATCCCAGCTCTGGAGGTTGTACCCTGCTCCCGAGCCACTCTCCTTCTCCCAGGAAAGTGGGGATGCAGTGAGGCCCATGACACATCCCCAGCACAASAGCCCTGTCCAGAGGGACTCCTCCAAGGTGACACAGGACGAGATACCTCTCCTCGAACAGCCGCCTCCTCGCCCGAGTGCAGCTGGGCAGTAACGAAGCGCTTGGTGGAAAGAGATCTTTCCAACCATCACTGCCCTCGCCAGAAGCTCAGCCTAATTGGCTTAGGATAAGGGCAGGTTAAGAGCACGAGCGGCTCTGCAGCTAACGCSGTTTTGCCAAGTCGTGATTTTACGAGTTCAGGGAATCACACACACTCAGCTGCCGGGGTCTTAGTAACGGTGCTTAACCTCACTTTCTTAGGCTACTGGAAAAGATGGGACGTTTCTAATCCTCATGGCCAAAGAGGGAAGAGCCCAAAGGGATGCAAGGCAGACAGGCCAAACTTACATTTCTCTGCTCTAGTCTTAGAGTCTACTTGATTGGGGGCCCGTTTTCCCAGCAAGATTTGGGAAGCTCACCTCTGCTAATGCAGAGGAGCGGGCGYGCAGCCGAGCGAGGCGCGTTGCAGTCCACTTCTGCTAACATAAACGCTCTCCTCTGAACCAGGGCGAGCACCACTCTGCAGCCCCGTTCCCCAGCCAGCAGTTAACCATCCTWGTCCTCTTTGCCAGGCGCTCACGGAGCGTCTCGAAGGTCAGGGCACTAGTGAACACTGYTCACTGCCAGCCGCTATTCCCAGCCCATCCACATCCTTTTCRCAGGGCTGAGGCCAACAGAGCAGCCCAGAGCCACATCTGAGAGAGAGGGAAGGAATTAGGGCAAGAAAAGCTACCTTCATCTCCAGTCATGTGCACCATAAGAGCATATCCAGCAAAGAGCACCTCCCCTTCCCGAGTTTCTCCCTTCCAGATCGCTCACCCTTCACTGACCAACCCCTCACAGTTGTTCACACACTTCTGCAGAGGCTTCTCTTACTTGAAGATGAAGGTATGGAGCAGATCTGCCCCAGCTTGCTCCTTCCTTGCACTCTTCCACACTGACCATCTTGCCTTAACGCCTCCCTTCACCTCAGCAGGATTTATCACCTCTCACTGCCTGATTCCAGGTACCACTCACTTGGCACCAAGCTTCCTTCCTTATTTTGCTTGCATTCGTGCCTGTGCTCAGTAAGGGGGATTAAAGATATGTCACCCTTCACCCTGGCTTTGATCCCGATCAGCTGTATGAGGCGTTGGTAGTCCTGGGGACTCACTTCCCAGACTCACGGTGACAGGCTTACCGCCAGCGGCATAACGAGGCAGAAGAAGAAGTTTCAGGAAAAAATCATTTTCCTCCATTCTGATCAAGTTCCTTGCAATTTCCTGGAAGAAATCAATTCTTTATACCGACATATGACACAGAAGTTATATGTTTAAGGCTTTTTTGATAGCATTACTCATGCAAGCTTCCCTATAGTTTTTGCAGTAGCAGATGCCTCTCTGGATAGAGGCCAATATATAATACAGGCCTTACCTATCTTGCTAAACCAGATCAGAAGTTTTTCACCAAAGCATTGCTTTCCACTAAAAAATCAATTTTCATTTAAATCAACACATTTCCGAAAATACTTATGTCATGTAGATTGTTCAATAGTCATTCGGTTTTGAAAATGAAACAAAGCATTTTGATAACTCTAAAATATCTTGCTCAAAATTACTTTTCCAAACAAAAACATTGTCTTTATCTTTTAAAAAACCCTGACAAGCTGCAAAGGATGAAACAGAAAAGAAATGTTTAATTTTGGAAGAACATATGCTTCATCAGAATTTTTAACAGTTGTTTCAGAGTGGAAGGAAAAACTGATGGCGCAGACTTTCTTGTCAGAAGGAAAACTCACTTCTTYCCCAGTCCTAATATTTATCGCTTCTGTTGGGTGCTAGCAGGATGCAGGAGTGGCTCCATCTCCCATGCAAATTCCCCGTGTGGATTTTGGTTACACAGCTGCCRTCCTCCACCCTGGAGGCAGCTGTGGTTCAGCCGCTCCGTAGAGCSCTGATTCCATGTGGGAAAGCCCTTGGCCCTCGAAATAGTGACAGAAATCCCTAGACATGACTGCTAGGGTGGTGAGGAGCGAGCACGGTGCCTGTGGCACCCCGGGTCAGGACCCGGCCACTAGCGGGCAAAGGGATGAGCTGGTCATGGGAATGAACGTCCTGGCAAGCCCAGCTCTAGTCTCTGCTCACCACGTGGTCCTCTCTCAGCCTTGCCTGGAAAAGCATCAATGAGTGACCAGTGTCAGCAAAGACGAGCAGGACTGAGTCCCCTGTCCGTCTCCTGCAGGCCACCGAACAGCCTTGGGATGGAGAAGGGACTTGGGAGAGGAAGAAATCCACTCTTGGATTCATAAAAGCAGTCCCAGCTTTCTCCCTGGAGGAAAAGGTGAGGGGGTTACTATCCATGTCCCATGGATCACCAGAGTTAACAGTTTTTACAATGGGTGGAAAAAAAGAAAAAAAAAAAAAAAAAAAGCAAGGGAAAGGGGAATGGGGAACATGAAGCATTCCAGAGAAATCCCCCATTCCTGCAGTGGGGGGCACACACCTACTGCTCCACAAGGAGCTGTGCAGAGAAAGGACGATGAGAACGCCATGGTGTTGCAGGAGTGGCCCAGGCCTCCAGTTTCAAAGGCTCCCCTCTCCAGAGTGTTTCAACGAGTGTTTGAAGTGCAAGATGTGGGCCTTGCAGAGAGTGGCAGCTCCTGTCAGAAGAGGAAGGCTCGGGAGAGGGGATGACCGCAGGGAGGATGCTGGCCTGGCCCAGCCAGCAACGTGTCCTGCTGTCCTAAATTTAAAGCTGCTCCTAAACCCAGCCCGTCAGAGCAGATCCAACTACCCAGGTCTCAGAAGGGCTTTGCTTACAGCCCCAGGAATCACACAGAGCAGGCTGCAGGGTAGGAAAGGCCTGATTGTTTCTCCCACACATTTGCACCTTTCTCTGTCTGACGGCTTTGAGAAGAGTCCTGTCCCCATTTCTACAAGGTTGTCCCCCATGCAGCATCTGCACGGCAGAGATTTGGCCTTATCAGTGCCTTCTGATAGCACCTGAGTCACGAAAGAGCAGCAGCAGCCAGCTGGCTCTGTGGCAGAGGCAGAGCCCCGCGCCCAGCGCGTGGCCGTGCACAGGTCCTGCAGGGCTAAAGGTTCAGAGCAGCACATCTGGAGCCAGKGCAGAGCCTTCAAACACAGGTTTCCTGCACCGAGAAATAAAGAGATGGGGACAGAAGCCTTGAAAACATTCGTGGGTTTTTTTTTTTCATCTTTCAGTGAGGTGGCATAGGAAGGACTGGGGACCATGTGTCCCAGGGATGGTGCCATCCGTGAGGCCCACAAGCTTCCCTGAAAGGAGGCAATGCAGGCCAAGAGAGATCAATCACAATTTTATCTACCCTTTTAAAGCTCTCATTTCTTTTTATCCCACACTGCCAGATAACAATCTGTGCCTCAAACATGGGTAAGGAGATAGAGCTTTATTATACTATTCCAAAAACATTAGATGCTGTAGGCTTCGCCCTTTCACGAGTTCACTTTGTTGGCAATCCCCTCTCTGCCCCCCCCAAACCCTCTTCCCTTTAATATTTCTCCTCTCCAAATCAGAACAACAGGCACAAAACTAATTATGTGATATTTCAGATCCATGTTGTGTTAATGGCACCAGATCGTGTGTGACATTTCCGACTTGTTAGACTATTATTCTCGCTTATTGTTATCTCTGCCGCTCTGAATGCAGGCTCAGGGCTTCGCATCCCCCCCCGCACCAGGCTCCCACCCCTCCTTCCCTCTCTTGTTCTCATTTATCAGCTGGGGAGGATTTGTGGAATGTTAAAGTGGGCCACGCTGGGCTGATGGGCTCATCGGGGGCACACGTGGAGGATACGGTAGGGATGGTGAAGAAGAAGGTGAGGAAGGGCTAAAAGGGGGATGGCTGCC